TCAATCCAAATAGCCTTTTTTTTGGAATTGTTTCCAGTACTAACACATTGTGATATCAATTATCAACTAAAACCATCCCAAAGAAAAAGAAATGCAAGAAAGTAAAATGGCTGTCTGAGGAAGCTTTACAAATAGCTGAGGAAAGAAGGGAAGCGAAAGGCAAGGGAGAAAGAGAAAGATACACCCAAGTGAATGCAGAATTCCAGTGAATAGCTAGAAGAGATAAGAATGCCTTCTTAAATGAACAGTGCAAAGAAATAAGAGAAAACAATAGAATAGGGAGGACCAGAGATCTCTTCAAGAAAACTGGAGATATGAAGAGAATGAACGTTTCATGCAAAGATGGGCATGATAAAGGACCAAAATGGCAGGGACCTAACAGAGGCAGAAGAGATTAAGAAAAGGTGGCAAGATTACACAGAAGAACTATACAAGAAAGAGCTTAACATCCCTGATAACCACAATGGGGTGGTCACTGTCCTCGAGCCATACATTCTGAAATGTGAAGTCAAATGGGCCTTAGGAAGTCTGAGCAACAACAAAGCTAGTGGAGGTGACAGCATTCCAGCTGAGCTACTCAAAATCCTAAAAGACAATGCAGTAAAAGTGCTGCACTCAATATGCCAGCAAATTTGGAAAACTGAACAGTGGCCATAGGGTTGGAAAAGGTCAGTTTACATTCCAATTCCAAAGAAGGGCAATGCCAAAGAATGTTCAAAGTACCGCACCATTGCATTCATTTCACTTGCTAGCAAAGTTATGCTCAAAATCCTAAAAGCTGGGCTCCAGCAGTATGTGGACCAAGAACTACCAGAAATACGGGCAGGATTGCCAACATACGCTGGATCATGGAGAAAGCTAAGGAGTTCCAGGAAAACATCTTTTTTTTCGATTTATATCCTGCCTTTTTCCTACAAAGGGCTCAAGGCAGCTTACATCATTCTCCTCCTCCATCTTATCCCCACAACAACAACAACAACAACAACAACAACAACAACAGTGTGAGGTAGGTTGGGCTGAGAGTCTGTGACTGGCCCAAAGTCACCCAGTTGGCTCCATGGCCGAGCGGGGACTAGAACCCAGATCTCCTGAGTCCCAGTCCCATGCTCTTAACCACTTACACCATGCTGGCTCTTCTTCTGCTTCATTGACTATGCTAAAGCCTTTGATTGTGTGGATCACAACAAATTGAGGCAAGTTCTCAAAGAGATGGGAGTACTAGACTATCTTATTTGTCTCTTGAGAAACCTATATGTGGGTCAAGAAGCAACACTGAGAACTGGACACAGAACCACTGATAGGTTCAAAATTGAGAAAGGAGTTTGGCAAGGCTGTATACTGTCACCCTGCCTATTTAACTTAAAAGAAATTTAAGAAATTAAAAGATGCTTGCTCCTTGGGAGGAAAGCTATGGCAAATTGAGATAGCATACTAAAAAGCAGAGACAACACCCTGCCAACTAAACTGTGTATAGTCAAGTCTATGGTTTTCCCAGTTGCAATGTGTGGCTGTGAAAGGAAGGCTGAGCGCTGAAGAACTATGGTACTGGCGAAGACTCTGAGTCCCTTGGAATGCAAGGAGATCAAACCAGTCAGTTCTAGAGGAGATAAACCCTGACTGCTCTTTAGAAAGCCAGATCCTGAAGATGAAACTCAAATACTTTGGCCACCTAATGAGAAGGAAGGACTCCCTGGAGAAGAACCTAATGCTGGGAACAATAGATGGCAAAAGAAGAAGGGGACGGCAGAGAATGAGGTGGCTAGATGGTGTCACTGAAGCAGTTGGTGTGAGCTTAGGTGGATTCCGGGGGATGGTGGAGGATGGGAAGGCCTTGAGGAATGTTAACCATGGGGTCACTATGGGTTGGACATGACTTAGCGACTAACAACAACCAGCTTGAATTCAGTGTAGTTAAGCTAAGTTACAGAGAATTATTTGTGCAGATTATACACTTAGTCAAAGAAACTAAAGTTGTTTATATTGCGATAATGTGTGTCTTTCCCTAGACTGACACCCTACACCTGCATGGGACTAAAGAGTCTCAGTTTTCCACAGCCACTCTGCATATCTAGAGGGCCTCAGGTTGGAGAAGGTTGTGCTACTGTTTGATTAACCAGTAAGAAGGAAGATAAATTAACTTTAAAAACTCATAATTAGTTATCTGCCCTAGCTAAAATGTTAGTGCACGTCATCTTGTTAGGTGTAGGATGACTGCTCATCACAGTTGACATTTTATTGGGTCTTTTATGATATGCAGCAGCTTCAAGCTTCCAGGAACTCTTAAAGATTTGAAGTGAGTCTGACTTTGTGTGCAGTGCAATCCAGTGCCTCCTGCCTTCAATGCACATCTGCTTCCAAACGCAAAGGCTTGTATGCATCGAGTGTATGCAGCAGAAGCTATTTTTACCACCTGTGCACCTTGCAAACCTGCCTTCCATCTGGATGGCAATTTTCAGCCATTAGATGAAACAGTACAAAGAGGATGGGGAGGAGTCTGGTGCCGTCTGGGTACAGTGTGAACCAGAAGTCACCTTCCTTCTCATCCCCATCACACCAGTTTTATTCCTTTCCAAGGCCAATTTGCCATGCCGGAGAGACAGCCAGCATGGTTTTTTCTGCACCAAGGTCAGGGGATTTCCAGAGTCCCAGCACTGAGGGTGCAGGACCTTGGCATTGAAACTCCAAATAATCCTGTGACTTTCCAGACCGTATCATGGAGGACATGGGATTGCAACTTTAGTAGATGGTTGAGGTGATCTGAGCAGGCTTCTATGCATGTTTGCGAGTACAGAAATACAGGTATAAACCATTCACTCCTCTGTGTGCCTGGGTATGTTTCTACACCTAAGATCAACAAATCCTCTGGGAAATTGATTGAAGACTTGCTTTTCAACATAAGAAGCACCTAAAGTTATCTTATGAGAAAAAGTCTTGGGCAATTTTAAGACAACAGTGGCTGGCATAATTGGTATTTGCTAGACAAATGTCAAAAATGGGCATGTCCACCCTCAGGACCATGGGTCAAATCCAACCCTCTCAGGGTCCCATTTTAACTCTGCGGAATTTCTTGGAGGGCCATGTTGTATTCCCTAGCGCAGGGGTCGGCAACCTTTAACACTCAAAGAGACATTTGGACCTGTTTCCCACACAAAAGAAAACACCGGGAGCCGCAAAACCCTTTTGACATCTAAAATGAAGATAACATTGCATATATGATTTTTTTACTTTAATGCTATGTATAAGTTCATTATGATTTAGCTGCAGCTCTTGTTCAGTCACTAAAAACTGTTATTTTTAATCTTACATTATAAACTGGTAGAAGTCCTTTCATATATTTTGAATAGGAGAACAGCTTTCTGCAGAGTCAAAGTCAGTGCTAAAGGGCTGCATGCATTAAACAGCAAACCCCGTAAGTTCATCAGCGGTAAAAGCAAATGAATCTACCCACGTACCATTAAACGTTTAGTTTTCTTCAGAAACTTTTCTTTTCTTCGATTTATCCATGGTTGGCCTACGGGGCGGGGGGGGGGGAGCGCAGTAAATCCGGCACAGATTGGAGGCTGTGCCCTGTGCCAGAGATATAGGTGTGTTTAGTGACCGATTAGCAGATAAACAGTGAAGTGCTGTGAATTGTGACAGGTCCCAAGCGCAGCTGTTAACATTCAGATGAAGGAGTTTACATTGAGACAAAGAGAATCCTTTCAGCAGCATTTCATTTCATGTAACATGAGAGCCTGCAGGAAGCTTGGTTAGGAGAGGAATGTAGAGATTTATTTAACTAGCTGATTTACTTAACTAGCTAGGGTTCCTGAGTGGAGCTTCGAACAGATCAGTGCTGTGCTGGCACATGTTTTGAGCGACGGAGCAGAGGGTTCAAGAGCCACGTGCGGCTCTGGAGCCACGGGTTGCCAACCCCTGCCCTAGACCCTCAGCCACCATTCATCTAGGTTTCCTGGGCTTTGTACATGCTTCCTACTGTAAATTGTTGAAATGCCTTTCCTAAGACTTGGGTAGTGTCTGGCAGTAATAGTTTTAAGCTAAAATGTGTTGCTGTGTGGGATATTCTGTTCTCATCCTATTAGCCTTTGCCCCCACCTAACACTGGAATGTGGTTCCTGAGCGCTTTTCCAGAACTGAATTTGGAGTTTTAGATGACCCTTGGCTTCAAATTACAGACCTACCTTTAAAAAGGTCTTCTAAACCTAAAACATTAAGAGAATGGGCACAAAGAAAGGCTTTTTCCTCTCCTGCTACTAGAACTGGGCAGCCAGTCAAAGTGATTGCTTTAACTGCTGGAATAAGATACTTCTTCATACAAAATCGGTTTGCTCTTGGAATTTCATGCACCAAGGTGTGAATTATGGCCAGTAACACAGATTACTTGCTTGTTTTAAAATGATTTTAATTCATTACTGGGAATAATAGCCACAACAGACAAATGATGCATCCCTAATCAGATGAAATATACCTGTAAAATACTAGATGCTAGAAACTAAAAAGAGGAAGTGGCCATTGCTATTGTATGGTGCTTGTCAGCTTCTGACACTTAGCTGCCTGCTTTGGAGAACAGAATGCTGGGACAGATGAACTATGGCATCATCTAGTAAGGTGATTCTTACAAGAACAATTATGTATTATAAAACTGATTGGTAAGATCCTTAAACATACTCTTTAGTAGCCATTAATAATGCCATAAGGAGTGGTGGTGTGAGTGGGACTCTAGAGATCCAGGTTCTAGTGCCCACTCAGCCATGTGTTCAGTGGTGACTTGGGGCCAACCATGAACTCTCTCGCTCTTACCCTGCTCACAGGGTGGTTGTTCTGAGAGTACAGTAGAGAGGAGGAGAAGCTTGAAAGCTCCTGGGTACCTTGCAGGAGGAATAAAAGCAAGGTAAAAATATAATGCAATGATCATAACCAGGTCTTCAACTGTGGTTCTCTATAGTTCAATTCCAAGTGTTTTAGAATAATGTCATACCTTTCTCTTCTTTTTCTTTCAGTGGGATCTTGTCTGTGATTCTGCCTGGAAAGTCCATATTGCAAAATTCTCTCTGCTTGTGGGATTAATCTTTGGTTACCTAATAACAGGATGTATAGCTGACTGGTAAGTGAGGATTCACACTCAAATCAAAGGTGCAGAACTCTTCTGCCTAAAACCATTATGAAATTACCTTTTGCAAGCAACACAAGATATACTTTTCCCCCTTCAGTGCTGTTTATTCTTCCATAGATTCCACTAAAATATGTACTCTGAAAGCAAATATTTAACAGTTGGCTTACGATTGATTGATATTGTTGTTGTACAAAATGAAGTAATTTTAAATTTTTAAAAAAGGTGTTTGAGAAATAATATGGATGCCTTAAGCTGATGCATTTATTGTAAAGCTGGCTGTCAGCCCAATTTTATTAAGCTCTTGTAGCTTTGCAAAGGAGGTGAAGATGGTTGCCCAGCTCTCTGCCAGTACATAACAGCATTAAAAAAGGGAGAGCAAGGAAGGTAAAGGTACTGCTTATCTAGAAAAAAAGAAGGAAAATGGAGCAAAGACCAGAAAAAAAAATTCTAGTCAGATTTTGAAAAAAAATACCTGGGGGAAAAAAGAGAAAAAATTGTCATAATTTTCAAAAAACTACTGGGAAAATGGGCGGGTGGGATTTTCACAATTTTTTTCTATCACATCTTTTACTGCTATCTGAAATATCCTTCCTCGGACAGAAGTTTTAATTTTATCGTGAGTACATAAAGATTTATTCGACTCCTAACACAGTATAATGCCAGTAAAGGAAGGAAATAATTTGTCATACTTATACATACAAATCAGGGCAATGGCAAAAAGGATTGCTTTTTTCCCAATAATAAAGGGATGAGTGGTTTTCATTATGTTTTTGAAATTTGTATACCTTCCAAAAACACAAACCTACATTCTTACATTTCAAGTAGACATCAGCTGTGCTTGTAAATTTTATTCTTATATGGCTAGTTGTGTGAGAAAGCTGATGAAGGGCCTTAACGCTTATACATACGCCATCAAATTAATTCAGACAACATCCATGCTTTTATGTGCACTCCAGTATGCAGTAAATTTACACCTGCAGTTTCCATTCTGACCAGTGATATGTTTTCGGAAACACGTTTTGCCGCCTGTACCTGGAAGAGCTACCAACCTGAGGCTATTCCAAATGGCCTGAATTTCATATTTCTAAATATCCAAAATGTGCAAAGGCCATGTTATGGGCTTTCCCATAATTTGGTGATGCTGCTAAAAATTTCCCAGTGGGTCTGCTTCTGTGGAAAACAAAGGGACAGAGGGATGAATAATATTAGTCTTTGAAACTGTCAAAAATCATATGAATTGCAATGGGTTGCAGTAGTTTCCTGTTTTCCAAGGATAAAAAAAGTTATCCTAGAAATGGTAACTTTCTTATGCTTTTGCTTCTTTTGCTTACATTTAATGAATCAAGGCAAATGAAATCATGCTTAGATCCCTGATAGGAGTAGCTTACTGTTGCTAGGTAACCAACGGAGACTGAAAATATGGTTTATTAAATATGTTAGGTACTTGAGACTAGATTAGATGTTAGAACTTTGATCTTATCTGGATAATAGCTGCAGTCTATTTTGCAGCTGTCATAGATGTCATTTCCACCTGTATCTCCTTCACCAGCTGGAACTGGACTCTTTTGAACAGCAGGCTCTTTAAGCACCACACACACACACACACACACACACACGGAGGGGTGGGGAGAGAACTTCTAGGGCTGCTGTTGCTTTCAGTTCTTTTCCTCCTCCCCCCTCCCCAATTGTTGCTGCTGCTTTTACTGGTGTCTAAGAACTGGGAGAGGAAACTGGGAGAGGAAAATGTAACCAGAACAAAGCATATGTTGTGAAAGAGATTGATAAAGATTTATTTTGAGAAGCATTACAAAGAATGACTCCAATTTAATGGCACTAAAGCAAATCAGTAGCCATCTGGAGTCATTTTAAGTATAGCCTGTGTATTTGGGGAGAAAGCGGGTAAAGGGATCTCCCTCAATGAAATGTGAGTGAAAAGGGTTTTTTTGTTTGCTTGCTATTTAGTTTTTCCTCAATTTATGAATCCTGAGTACAAGGTAAAAGTGTAATTAAGAAATCTAGAGAACTATTTTAGTGCATCAAATGCTTTTTCATACCCAGTCTCTCTCTCTCTCCTCCTTCCCCTGCTGGAAAGCAGATCCCTTGATGCCTTATCAAGAAGCAGGGTAGAAATATTGTTACTAGATAATAAATAAAGGTGCAAAGCCCTATCTATCTTGATGCCAAGGATTATGAAGGACCAGATTCTCTGAAATGAACCTGCATACTTAGTACGATTATAATTGGAGGTTCTTCTCCAGGTGTACCCAGCCCCTAAGGTGAGGTGGGTGGCAACTGGAGAAAGGGCATTCTTGGTTTTGACATCCTAGTCATCAAACATTCTGCCTGGGGATTGGCACTAGGCATTATGTAAATCAACATTTGCAAGCTATTCAATTTCTTACCAAATGGATTAGGTCATGAACTTAGATTCCTGTGTGATGCTTTTTCCTAACTGTTTCTGTAGAGAAGGTTCAGCAACAAAGTTTTTGGAAAGGTGGCTGGGAATGTTCCATCCAATTCAGAAGTCTAATTTGCAAAATATGTTGAGTACAGGCCAAAATACAATTGACTTCATTTCTCTTTTCTTTCTGCAGGGTTGGTCGTCGGCCAGTGCTGCTCTTCTCTGTATTATTCATTTTAATATTTGGACTCACAGTGGCTCTCTCGGTGAATGTGACAATGTTCAGCACGCTCAGGTTTTTTGAAGGGTTTTGCCTGGCTGGAATAATCCTTTCACTGTATGCACTGCGTGAGTATTACCTTCATAATGCATCCTAAGCTCTTTAAAAAGTTTGCACTCTTCAGTATATTACCATTCCCTATAAACTGTATTTCAGTATGACCAGTGCTTTTTTTGTCATAGAACGCACCGGAACAGAGTTCCGGCACCTTTTTCCGACAGATTTTCCAAGTTTTAAAAGTAACTTTTGAAAATTTGATGTTTGGTCCACGTGGATTCGAATCGCCCTGTTAAGCGTAGCAGGTTGGCGGCAAAATAATTAAAACGGTGCATGCGGGCTGCTTGTGTGTCGAATCCGACGCATGCGTACTTTGTCCGCGCTGGTTGTGATGGCGCTGCTCAGCTTGTGGTGCTGCTCGGCTTGGGATTGGTCATGTGGTCACGCACTGAGTGCTTACTGCGGGCAGCGACCGTTAGGTTTCGTTGCACAACTGGTGTGTGTGTGTACAGTGATTGACTACGTGTGAAAGGTAAATAATTTCATGAGTTCTGGCACCCTTTTTCTTACAAAAAATGCACTGAGTATGACAGTTTAAAAAGAAAAACAAGAAAAAATAGATGCCAATTTTACATATTCAATTGTTCCTTGTGTCTTGTTGAAAAACTAGTTAAACTCACCTAAGCAGCTATTAATGTCATCATGTTCTCAGATAGAAACAAGAGTGGTAACAGTGGTTTCTTCTTAAAAGTTTGCAAGAAGAATCTTACTGGATCAGGTTCACTTTGTATGAAAGCTGAATAGCACTTTAGAAAGCTTTGCAGAAGTGTGATTCTGCTTGGAAGCAAGATACACCTTTTCCACATTTCATTGTGTTATTTGCTGATTGATCGCAGATTTAGTGGCAGTGGGGTGGCCTTCTGACTCACAGAACCTGTCCACCCATGGCGATTTTTATTTCAGAGGGTTCATAAGATATTAATTTCTTCCACAATATCCATGCAGCTGCTTCTTTCTCGGAATATGAAATCAAGGAGAAAACAGAATGGCAGGAATGGGGAGCAGCAGTCTTTGCCATCTTGGTGGTGGCAAAAAAGTACCACCTCAAGAGGGCAAAGACCTACTACACTGTTGCAATTTACTTTTGGTCCTGTTTCATCTTTTTCCTGCTTTCCAGTCAAAGGCCAGGGCCCAAGCATATACAAGGCTGTGTTGTGTCACTGCAATGGTGTGGGTGACTGACCTTCTAGACCTAGGATTCCTGAGTACTTTGGGAGTGCCCAATTTGCTTGAATTCAAGTCTACTGTGTCTGTGTATTTATTTGTAACTGTCTCTCCTTTCTGTCAATCCCGTTTTAATCAAGATTAGAAACAGCAGGGAAAGAAAGCAATGGTTTTTCTTTGCCATGTACCCATCCCTCACAAACCTCCCCTGTTTAACTCCTCCCATTCTTCTGGAAGCCCCCTCCTTTCCTAGACCAAAGGGAAACCTGTGGGAAACTCACTTCAAAGGAATTCAGACAGAAACTCTTATCTGTGTGAATCAGTTCTAGCAGTTACACCTGAAAATTCAGCTCAGGATGTATTGTATAATAGAGGAGGTCATGGCAGTGGCTTGGCTCCGAAGTTTTGTGAGCGGAAGGAAAAAAATGTACAGCTACTGTTTTGTGGACTTTTTGCACAAAGTAATAGAATGCCCCTCAAAATGCAGTTCTACAAGGTAACAGGCTTTGTGTGGTGGCATGAACACATTTGGAACATGAATATTCAGGTTGGAACATAGCCTTCCACAAACCAGTACAATCCAGGTATGACCTGCAGTTCCTATCTTCCCCAGGCAGTGTGACAGGATCTGTAGTCTAGCATATCTGAAGGGCAGCAGGTTAGGGAAGGCTGCTATAGCATACAAGCTGTAGTGGCCTATAGAAAACTTTGGGAAAAGAACTTGTGCAAAACCTTCTGCAAATAGCTTGCACTAATGAAAGAACACCTCTGGATTTATTGTTCCCTTTTTCACACAATGCTCTATATTTTGGTCAGCAGTAGCCCTTCTGTGAGTAGAAGAGGCTTTCTGTTTGTAGAAAGACATCTTTGGAGCCAAGCTAGTGTCACTACAGTGTGGCATGTTTGCTTGCTTGCTTGCTTGTTTATTGTATTTTATTTAAAAATGCATGTTCCACTTTGCTACCATAAAAGTCCTCAGAAAGCTTACAGAAACATTTCATTGATAGGACTTGCATGACACAACAACCTATCATGTGCAATAAACCACAATAGGATGTTGTGGTGGTTGAACTCAGAGCACTCTCTGCAGCGACCTGCAACAAGCTGACAACCCACAACTTATTCCAAGAGTTTTTCAGTCCACAATAGGTTGAACCTGGGAGAACAACCTGGGGGTTGTGTAGATTGCCTAGCAACCCACTTGGAAGATTGGCAAAAACTCATTTCATTCTTCATTCCCTTACTGCCACCAAATGCCATCTGCGCATTCACCAGTGCCCAAGCCCCACTTCAGAGCAACCAGTCAACTTTTTAAAGAAATGGCCCATGAAATTGCACAACTGTTTTTCCCCCCGGTTCTTTATTGCTATTGATATTGCCATTATTATTGTTGGTCTTCTGCAACTTGAGCTCTTTTTTAAATAGTGCCAAATGAAAACGGGTAGCAACTGGAGAATAACTGAGGAGACGCTGTGCAAAGGGCACGAGGACATTGGCTGGAGGACTGAGGGGCAAAGAGGGGAGAGCAAGCTCACTCGGTCAGACTTTTTCACAGGGTGGCTTAGTGGGGCATGTGAATGTGGACATCGAGTTTGAAGTGTTATACTCAGTAGGCAAAGATCTCATACACTGAGATTACCAAATTAAAAATAAAGGGAACAAAAGAGAATACATTTTCAGCTGATTTACAATGCCAATAGAGAAAATGCTTTTACAGTGTTTTATATTGTTTATCATGAAGAACCTGAGTGTCCCACATCCAAACTTTTGCTGGGTTTAGTGACTCTGGTTACTTTATAAAATACAGAGGGTAGCAAACAATGAAACTAGAATTTCATGGGCCAGTTGCTGGGATTCAGAGCACTGTGCGCCCAGTTCCATGTGCACAAGGATGATTTGTGTTTGTGTTTCTCCAACAGTGGTCTTTTTGCCATGTGGCAACCCCTTCAGAAGATGAGTGGAGTTTCAAAAGTGGTTCATGACTGGATGAATACTGTTCAAAGGGGAAAAAAATCAATAGAGATAGCTAAACTTTTCTTTATGCTAAAATAGCTCTTTAGTTCCTTTGGGTGTGGCTAAAGTAACTCTCTCCTTCATGGATCACTGCCTTGCTGTGGCGAAGGGGCTTGCGTAGCACAATGAAGCTATGAGCTATGCCGTGCAGGGCCACCCAAGACGGACAGGCCATAGCAGAGAGCTCTGACAAAACGTGATCCACTGGAAAAGGAAATGGCAACCCCCTCCAGTATCTTTGCCATGAAAACCCCATGGACAGTACCAAAAGGCAAAGAGATATGACACCAGAAGATGAGCCCCTCAGGTCGGAAGGTGTCCAATATGCTACTGCGGAAGAGCAGAGGGCTAGTACTAGTAGCGCCAGAAAGAATGAAGCGACTGGGTCAAAGCCGAAAGGACACTCAGTTGCAGATGTATCTGGTGGTGAAAGGAGAGTCTGATGCTGTAAAGATCTATACTCCATAGGAACCTGGAATGTAAGATCCATGAATCAAGGCAAGCTGGATGTAGTCAAACGAGATGACAAGACTGAACATCGACCTCTTAGGAATCAGTGAACTAAAATGGATAGGAATGGGTGAATTTAATTCAGATGACCATCAGGTATACTACTGCGGGCAAGAATCCCTCAGAAGAAATAGAGTAGCCTTCATAGTCAATAGAAGAGTAGGAAAAGCAGTACTGGGATACAATCTCCAAAATGACAGAATGATCTCAGTTCAAATCCAAGGCAAAGCATTCAACATCAGAGTAGTCCAAGTCTATGTTCCAACCACTGGTGCTGAAGAGGCTGAAGATGACCAGTTCCATGAAGGCCTACAACACCTTCTAGAATTAACACCCAAAAATGATGTCCTCATCATCATGGGGGATTGGAATGCTAAAGTAGGAAGCCAAAAGATAACTGGAGTAACAGGCAAGTTTGGCCTTGGAGTACAAAATGAAGCAGGGCACAGGCTGGTAGAATTTTGTCAAGAGAATACGATGGTCATAGCAAACACTCTTTTCCAACAACCCAAGAGACAACTGTACTCATGGACATCACCAGACGGTCAACACAGAAATCAGATTGACTATGTGCTCTGCAGCCATAAGTGGAGAAGCTCTATCTAGTCAGTAAAAAATAGACCAGGAGCTGACTGTGGCTCAGATCATGAGCTTCTGGTTGCAAAATTTAGGCTTAAATTGAAGATAGTAGGGAAAAGCACTGGGCCACCACTCAAGCATGACCTAAATCATATCCCTGATGAATATACAGTAGAGGTGACAAATAGATTTAAGGAATTAGATCTGATAGCCAGAGTGCCTGAAGAACTGTGGACAGAGGTTCACAACATTGTAGAAGAGGTAGCAACTAAAACCATCCCAAAGAAAGAGAAATGCAAGAAAGCAAAATGGCTGTCTGAGGAAGCTTTACAAATAGCTGAAGAAAGAAGGGAAGCGAAAGGCAAGGGAGAAAGAGAAAGATACATCGAATTGAATGCAGAATTCCAGAGAATAGCTAGAAGAGATAAGAATGCCTTCCTAAATGAACAGTGCAAAGAAATAGAAGAAAACAATAGAATAGGGCGGACCAGAGATCTCTTCAAGAATACTGGAGATTTGAAGAGAACGAAAGTTTCATGCAAAGATGGGCATGATAAAGGACCAAAATGGCAGGGACCTAACAGAGGCAGAAGAGATTAAGAAGAGGTGGCAAGATTACACAGAGGAACTATACAAGAAAGAGCTTAACATCCCTGATAACCAGTATGTGGACCGAGAACTACCAGAAGTACAGGCAGGATTTCGAAGAGGGAGAGGAACTAGAGATCAAATTGCCAACATACGC